AGTTCTTAACCATCGCGCCACTCGGCCAGCCCTCTTTTCTTTTTTTAAATTGGGGAATTGGGGGAGGGGGCCAGCCAAGTTGGTGTTCTTCAATTTTAGTTGTGGAGGGCGCTATCTGGCTTCCTGTCGGCAGCTCGTGGCCTCTAAGCTCAAGGTGCTGTGTTACGATCTTAGTTGCGGGTAGTCATAGCCACCATCTCATGCGGGAGTCGAACCAGCAGCGTTGTTAAGAGCGCGCATTCTACTATCCACTGAGCCATCCGGGTGGCAGCTCAGCTCAAGGTGCAGAGTTCAGTCTTAGTTGCGGGCAGGCGTAGCCCACCATCGAACAGGCAGTCTTATTATTAGGAGTATGTACTCTCACCAGCTGAGCCATCCTGCCATCTGTTGGCAGCTCAGCGGCAGCTCAGCTTGGGCATAGCATCACTGGCCCATGTGGGAATCGAACCAGCTGCCCTGTTGCTCAGAGCTCATGCTCTTAAGCTAACTCTTAACCAACTGAGCCACTTGGCCGGCCCGATCCTTTCTTTTCTATAAGAGCTCAATACTTTAAATAAACAGCCTTTAAGAATAATGTAGACACACACACACACACACACACACACACACACACACACACACACACTAGTGTAGACTCTACAGAAGTCTGATAAACTCCAAATGAACCAGGCTATCTTAAAAAGAGAGAGAGAGATTTTTAAAGACCCTGTGCGGTTGGTTAACTGAAATTTAAATAAACAGTATACAGATATCTCTAAAAGTAGGAGATCCTCATGAACAACTATGTTCATGAAGAATGTACTATACTAAGGTGGATGTTTGGCAGCCTTTATTCCTTGAAACCAAAAATTAAAGACCATGAATCATAAAGGCTTTTGCAATACCATTAGTTAAATTCACTCCTGCATTTACTACCTGGTTAATACACTCCTGCCCAATCTATACATTTGAAAGAAAAGTTTCATTCTTTTCCTAAAAGGATTTCACCTAAAGAAGACAAATCCTCTAATGCAAGGTTTACATTATCCATGTGCCAACTGATTTCTTAACTACATGCCCAGTATCATTTCACAGAAGCCCTGACTCTGGCTCCTTTAGTAGTTTTACTTACTCATTCAAATAACCAATATTTACTGATTGCATTTTGAGTTCTATGTTTGAAACACTGCAGATAATAAAAAGATGGATAAGTCACATCCTCAATATTTAAGGTGCTGAAATTTCACATAAGAAGATAGAGAGGAATATAAGTGAGTTCCATATGCAACTTTTAGATTTCTTCCTGAAGTTTTCTTACATAACAATTATTTTTCATGTGAAAGATAGGTACAGAAGATAGGTACAGCTGGTACATGGACAGAGTGGCACCAAAAAAAGTCTCTGTGTGTGTGTGTGTGTGTGTGTGTGTGTGTGTGTGTACACAGGACAAAAACAAAAAACCATCTTAATTTAAAATGTATAGTGAAAAAATAAAATTGATAGTGGAAATCTTCATTTCCATTTTCTACCTTTAATAATTTACTTAAATGTATTACATGTGTAAAATAGCTGATGATCACATATTTAAAAATAATTACACTGGACTATAAAATAAAATATAGTTATACTTTCAGAACAGAATTGATACATAACAAAAAGTTTTAGGGCCGGGTGAGTGGCTCAGTTGGTTAAGAGCTCGCTCAAGAGTTTGAGCTCTGAGCAACAACGGTTCGAGTCCAGCCCGAGCTGAGCAGCCGCTGAGCTGCCAATAGGTAGCAGGATGGCTCAGCAAAAAAAAAAAAAAAAAAAAAAGTTTTGCTCACTTCATTCTCTCATACACATTCTTAAAGATAGCCACAAATACTCAAATAAGCACTGAATGGTCTTATTTTACTCTTCATCCCGTCTGAAAGATAGAAATCCCATCTATCAAAGGCATTCCACCTCTGAAAATCTGCAGTCTACACTGACACATGGTGGGTAGGTAGGTTCAACAGTTATTTGGTTAGCTAAGTAAACATTTTAAAATGAAGATTCTTAGCCACACTGATATTGTTCCAGCCACTATATAAAGTAATATTTAAATGAGGATCTTGTGGCTGGATAATGGCCTAGGGTTCCTCTGGATAATGCTCAACTATTTCCTTTTCCAACAAAAACTATAAAAAACACATAGCTTGTATCTGTAAGTACACTGTGAACCTCAAATAAATTTTTCTACATACATTTCAGGTTCTGTTCTTTTCCTTTGTAGTTCTCAGTATGTGGCAGAATTCATAAATACCTATTAACATTAGAAAAAGCATGTGGAATTTTCCTTTAAAATCAGATTTACCACTACGAATAATAATACCCTTCTTTTAAATAGTCGTTTTCTCCCCACTTATTGCACTTGAATCTTTTTAAAAGACCCAAGGAGTAGTCTAGAAAAATAGACCTAAAAGGGTTAAGTGTGTCACTGTTTGGGTAACCTGTCACTTTGAAAGTAATGGAGGTCTGGGAATTGGTCGAGGGTATAAGATCAGTGGTACTTATTTTTGTACTTACAACGAATATTCGATTTAATAAAAGAAACTTACATCCTAGAGAACCAGGAGGCAGGACCTCAGTAGAAAAAACAGTAATACAAAGTCTGTCATGGTGTACATCACTGCTAAATCATGTTTATTTGGTGGTACTTGCCTAGTTAGCCCTGCCAAGAAATTAAATAAATATATTTCCTAACGCCTTCCATAAAATCAGATTCACGCTTCACAATCATTTCAGTTCTCAATACTCAGAGGACTCATTACAATTAGAGCTTTCCCCATCACCCCATTGTGAATTTATATTCTAATTAGCAAAAATTCTACATATTGTTCTTTTGCTTCTTACAGGATAATTGTTTTTTTTAAGTAGCACTTTTTGAAATAAACCTGGTTTATTTTTCTCCTGGATAAGGAGAAAAAACCAAACAGCTATAAAAGACATTTTGGGGACCACTGAAGATATTCAATAGTATCATTATTATTGATATAATGCTATTGATATTACATTATTAAATCAATAGCTACGTTTTTTAGGATAAAGTTATTATGACTATGTGGTAAATGTTCTTATTGTTAGGAGAGACATGTTAAAGTATTCAGAAGTAAAGTGTCAAATATCTAAAGTTAGAGCAAATGTGGCAAGAAGTTAACAATTATTGGTGAATCTAGTTGAAGAGTATAAGAGTGTTAAGTATCATTTTTAAAATTTTTTCTACAGCTACTAAAATTTTCAACATAAAAATTTAAGGAGAAAAACACTTGATTTTTTTAAACTTTGAATCAAAATTACTTATCAATAAATAAACTTATGATAAAAAGGGTCACTAGGTCTTCTTTCTAAGTAATGATGTCATTAATATGGACTTTTCCACTGTAAACCAAATATCAAAGGCATTTCCTATTCATAAAAGTATTCTAAATAGCCATGCATTAGAGTAATTTTGACAAAATTTGAAAACAAAAAATGCATTACACTTAGATCAAGAGGGTTAAGTTTACTCAGTTAATTATGGGACTTACCTATCCATGTCATCGTCTCCAAGTAGTAAGGGTGGGAGGGGCAGAGGAGGCAACGTTGATGTTTTTAGGTGTGGAATAGCAGCTGTTACAGATACTTGAGTCTTCACAGAAACCTGTACAGAGGGCTGAGAATTTGCCTGAGAGAACAGAGTAGATGTCCTTGGATGAGTAGAAGGGGGCAAAGCTGAAGTACTAGAAGCAGGAACCTGACTAAATGCTGGTTGGGGAGGAGGCAGAGGTGGTTGCTGTGGAACAGCTGGTAGTGGAGGCAAAGGTGGCAAAGGAGGTGTCTGAGGTGGAGGGGTAGTAGTTGGTAAAGGAGGTGGAGAAGTAACTGTGGGGAGAGGTGGAGGGATCTCCTTTTCTGATGTCTCTGTCTCTTTGGGAGTAACAATCTCCTCTTTCAATGCTATGGGTTTAGAGTCTCTTGTTCCCTGTGCTTTCAAATCTTTAAGAACAGGATGCTTCTCAGAGTTCTCATCCAACTTTACTTTCCCTGTATCTAAAGAATTTTTGGCCTCTGTGTTTAGATGCGTTACATTCACCAGTTCAGTATCTGGGGCAGATTTTTCCAATTTTATACCTCTGGGTAACTTTTTAGACTCTAAACCTGAATCCTTAGCCTCTAATGAACTGTTCTCTTTCTTAGGCAAAAATATAGGTGAACCCTTGGATTCCTTTCCATCCATTTTTGCTGCAGCAGCAGCAGCTGCTCTTTCCTTCTTTTTCCTACTGAGTTCAGCTCCCAAGCTGGAGTTCAAAGGAAGCCTGACGGGTGAGATACTGGAATGTCGACTGCGTGACCCGGATCTCTTCTTTTTACTATGAGAAGATGAGTGTCTTGAATATGCGGGACTTCTACTTCTTGACTTCATGGATTTCCTAATGGAAAAAGGAAAAGGCAGTTTAAAATGGATAGGTTATAACAATATATAGGAAAATAGATGAGTTAAAGTATGGAGAACTATAACTTTAAAAACTTACTTTGAGTAATTTAGTAATCTTAAAAGTCGAATAGGGGCCGGCCGAGTGGCGCGATGGTTAAGAACCGGCTTGGGACGCCAGAGGGCCCTGTTTTGGATCCCACATATAAGGGCCAGTGACACTGCCCTCCACAGCTAAGATGCTGAACAACAGCTCAACCTGGAGCTGGGCTGCTGTGAGTCGCCAGCGACAGCGTAGGTTGCAGCCCCTGTGGCAGTCGGTTGCCATGGGCTACCGTGTGTAGCCAGCAGCCGGTGTGTGTAGCCAGCAGCTGCAGTGAGCGGCCGTCCAGAAGCCGGCGACTGATCTGCCTCACCCGGGAAGAGCGCAATGATGGTGCCAACTTGGGCCAGTGAAGCAACGTCCTCCACAACTAGATTGAAGAACAAAAGGACAGCAACTTGTCTGTTCCCCTCCCCCCAATTCCCTGGCACTGTTCCCATCCCCCCAATTCCCCAATAAAAAAAATCTTAAAAAAAAAAAAAGTAGATTAGGTATCTAATAATAACAATAACGATAAATCAATATTGGTTCATTAATTGTAACAAATATAACATACTAATGTAAGATGTTAATAATGAGGAAACTGGGTGCCAGGACATATAAGAACTCTGTGCTATCTTCACAATTTTTCTGCAAATCTAAAACTATTCTAAGAAATAAGGTTTATTTAAAAAATATATTAGAACTAAATCTTGCATGACAACATATTTCAATCATATAATACTAAAAAATTATTCAACTGAAGGAAGATAGATTGATATTTTTTCCCATGTTGGAAAATACCCATATTCAATGTTTACTTTTAGAATTTTGGTTTAAATCTCTGATAAACTGAAAACATGATAAAAGAAAGTCAAACTTTATACTAAAGTTAAGTTACACCAATAAGGAAATTAAAAGTAACTAGCATGCTTCACCAAAATCTAAATTTTTAAACTAGAGAGCTATTTACTTGACAGATCCCAGGAAAAGATTTCGTTCCTTGTATCCTGAATTTATAATTAAGCGGTACCTATAATACGCGAACCCCCAAGATATAACAGTTAGGACTTACAAAATAGATGAACTAGAGAAACTATCTTACAAAATAATTTATTAGAAATTCTCAAAACTAGAATGGCTTCTGATGCTTTCAAATAAAAAATGATTTCCAGTAAACTTTTCAGGAACTTGTAAAGCCAGGTATTAGTGAATGTTCAGTTTATTTTCTTCATTATTAAGGAAGGATTGGGAAATAAAATCTTAGAATCTATGTCGCAGATTATTCTACATTGAAACCCAACTCTCATTAATTCTTTTTGAGTTTTAATAAAGCCAAATGTGCTTAGGCTTCAAGGTGAGGGGGAAAAATTAGCACTAAAAATGTGATTGGACAAAACATAATTTGCCCAGTAGTCCAAAACAAGTTGCTTCTATTCCAGATCTCCAATATCTCCCTTTATCTTTAATCATCTGTAAGAGACATCAATCAAAAAGCTTCAAAACAAACAGCATATGTGTAGGGAAAACAGCCATGGTTTTCTTATACCTATACTGCTTTTTGGAAGTTTGCTCTAAAAAGTTAGTTAAAATATAGTCGTTACTGGAATCGAAGTACTCAAAACAATAATAACAACATATACTATATATGAACATCAGGATATAAACTATTGAAAGTAGCTAAGTGGATTTACCAAATATCCACTTATACCCTTAAGAAAATTAACACTTCTCTTGTAAATACCTGGCTGAAACAAGGTTTTCTTTGATTGAATTATAGCTAGAATAAAACTAACATCTCTGTCCCAAGAAAAACTTCTAAAATCCCAAACACTAAGTAATGTCAGAGACCACGCTCTACAAACCATTGTTTTTTAATTTTTTAGCATGACTAAATCTTCCTAAGGAACTCTGCTAAAAACCCTTGAACTTCTGAACAGAAGCCTACTGTTAATAGGACATTTGGATGGCCATATGTCATATACTTATGACATTTTTATGATACAAATGCTTTGAGGTCCAGATCTACTCTTCAAGGAAAAAAAAAGGTGTGTGTGTGTGTGTTGTATGGGGGGGGGGAGGGGGCAACAACAAATAGGTAAATACAGGCAATAATAAAAACTTTGTCTTCGAAAAAACGTATTTTCCCCCTGAATTAAGTTAGTTAGGTTCCATCCATTTGAAATGAAATTACTGCTCTAAGTCATTACTAATTTGGTGAACGTGAAGACCTTGCATTTCTGTCAAAGCATTTTCAGTCTTTTAAAATGATGTTGCTAGTCTAATTTTGTCTATCTCACAAGGAAAAAAAAAGAGAATACCATAGAAGGGATCTGTATGTTCCTCTAGTCTAAGAAATTTTTGTACTTACTGTTTGGAATTCCAATGAATGAGGAAAAATATGTAATGCACACATACAAACATATGATGCTCTCTATAAGCCAACTAAAAGTGTGCATGTGGTTCCAGGATTGTTTTGTAGTCTGTATATTTATGTCCTATCCTATCATAGAATATCTCCAATTCTTTTTTTATTTATTTATCATTTCTCCACTAGTTCCAATTATATGAGTAGAGGAAGAGAGAACTTGAGATATAAATACATAAGGAATCAGTGCAAAGCTGCAGCTCTTATTGAAACTCATGTTAGTGTTTTAGCCTCACTGCACTTCTGTATTCCCAAACCCCACAACAATAAAAATTCTCAGGACAGCCTTAAGTTACTCCCTCAAGAAAACAAATATTCTGAGAATATTTTTTAGGGTTTCTTAAAAAAAATCTAGTTAATGGTATGCATGCTCAATTATTTATAGTGAAATATACTGATGTCAGTAACTTACTTTGAGATGCATCAAAAGATGGATTGATGCAGAGATGGATAAACAAAATATATGACATATATTATAGAATGTATGTACATGTATGGGTCCTCACTACAATTCTTTCAACTTTTCTGTGTTTGAAAAATTGTAATAAAATGGGAGGGGGAAAGACTAAGGAACTTTAGACCCTGACAACTAGGAACTCTGCAGTTTGACCAATTCAAACTACTTTATGAATAATTACAACTTTAAGTCAGCAAAAATTACTCACATTGACATATAAAAGATATGCATGGGTTTTTTCAAATTAGAATACTCTCCCTAGTAAGTTCAACATTTTCCTTACTCATAGATAGAATTTACTGACTGGCTCCAGGTACCAGGCTGTGCTACGCACTTCATATTACTAACTAATTTAATCCTCATAACTCTAGAAGTACTTGCAATTCCCATTTTACACATGAAAAAACTCAGGCATGAGAAATTAAATTATAGGATTCCACTCAGGTGTAACGCCAAAGCCCATGTTCTGCTTTTGTGGACAAGGTGAGTCCACAAAAAGGGAGGCACAGCTCATCATCTAGGAACAAGGACAGTTTTCTGTAGATAATTCACTCCAACAATTAAATTTCAAACTACATGCCTTTCTTGCAAAAATAACACAGTAAAGGCACTATTACCATTTTTTTTTTTTTTTAGAGAAAGATTTTGAAAATTGCCAGGGGTCACAGGGTAAGTCAATGATGATGCTGTAAAGAAAATCAAATTATCCTTGGGATGAATTTCTGCCAGGCTCCACCATCGAAAGGATTGTGGAAATTCAGTCTTATCAGCTGGATTTCTACTAGAAATATCAGTGAAAAGACAGGAGTCTTTTGTTAAGCCATCAAAACATAATTGGGAAATAAATTTAACAGGTTTGTAGACTCAGTGGACAGCACAAATTGGTAGATGACTTAGGCAAATAGCCTCAAGAAAATACAAATGGAAATTTGTAATTTCTTGTATCTTCAATCAGGTCCAATGAGGTCTAAAGCACTAATAATGTGATTTAAAAATATTTAAGACAAAGCAACAGAAATAGCTAGATAAGCTCTGGAAACCAGTATCAACTCTATGCACTCAATAAACAGAAGTCTATGATTTTTCTCACACAGGAGCTTACAGCTAAAGATCGCGCCATTGTTAAGTACCTGCCTTTAGGAGTTTTAAGCATGTTAACTCTCCACTTTTTGAATTCTGGGTTAAAAGGAGACCAGATTAATTTAATTTGAATGACTTGGGGACTTAAACAAAACATGACTAATTGCCAATTCCTCATAACCCACCCTAATAAAGGACTGGTAGACAAATGGCTCACCTGGGGAGTGGACTCCGGCTCAGAGACCGTTTGCTTGTGAAAGGGCTGCTGGACCGCCTTCGACCATAGGGACTAGGTGATCTCCCACTGTAAGAGCCACTCCTTTCATAGCTGGATGACCGTCTCCGGCTATAGGGACTCACAGACCTCTGTCGTCTACTGTAGGGACTGGGTGACCGGGTGCTGGACTGGTAGGCGGAAGGCTCCTTGTAAGGTGGGCTAATTGACTGCCTTCTTGAGGTACTTCCAGGACTTTTCTTGTAGGAGTCATAATTGCTGGAGGTATGAGATCTTGGGGGACTAAGGTCATAATCTTGGCCATAAGAAGCTCCTGAGGGGCTATCATCTTGCTTGGGGCTGTCAGACCATTTCCTGTGGGGACTCCTGGATCTCCGTTTTGGGCTGTCCACTGTTTTGTAACTTTTGGGTGTTTCCCTTTTCCGATGACTTTTACTCCGGTCTTTGTGCCCAGATTTCAACTCCCGTTCTTTCCGGGCTTTCTCCTTGTGGAGTTTGGATGACCTGGATTCCTTGTTGCTACTGCTTTTGGAGATCTGTGCCTTCCCATAGTCATCGTTCTCCTCAGTTGAACGCTTTGAACTTCCTGATATCCGGTCCTTCATCGATCCCGACTTGCTGGAAACTTCCTGGTTTTTTTCTTTTTCTGTCTGTTTAGTTTTTAGTAAGTCCCGGGAACGTCTGTGCTGGTGGTGACGATGTTTGTGCAGGCGGTCACTCCGATCAGTTCCTCGACGTTCCTCATTCTCCCTCCTGTCTAGTTTGAAGGCCATGTCGTCAGAGAAGGTATCTGAATCAGAGCTGATGTCATCATACTCCACCAAAGGTTTGATAACTGTACCCACAGGTGCTGCTTCGGAGGTCACCAACCCCATGTCTTTGGAGTGCTTGGACTTGTGCCGCTTGTGCTTCGACACCAAGCGATGACGCTCTCTGCTGTTGGAGCTGCCACCTCCCGACGACGGCTGCAAAGTTCCAGAAGCTCCTCCACTCCCGTCCTTCTTGCCCCCATGTCTCTCTGGATTGGGCATTCCCTTTCCCCTGGCCTCAAAAAGGGGAAAAAGTTCCCCAGCACTCCAAAAAGTAACCCCCACCCTCCCCCCCAACCCCAACCCCACGCCTACCAAAGCGCCCCTAGAGGGGGGTGGGGAGGGAAGGGACGGTAGCGCAGGCTCCTCCTCCCTCCCGACTTCTCAGCACCCTCCTACATGAGGTAGGGGGTGAAGGAGCCAGGGAAGAAATTAGAGTTCCTCAGCAGTAGAGTTGCGAGACAACGGACAGCTGCTCAAGTCTGTTTGCCCTCCTCCCCCCGCGGAGCCAATCTTCAGGCCCGGAGGCCGGGAAGGTCGAGGAAGTAGGAAGCCGACGGCCCGGGGCTGTGGGGCCGACTCCGGGTCTGGGGCCCGGTGAGGACTGCGCCGGCCCTTCCCCTACCCGGTAGCCCGGCTCGGGGCGGCTTCCGGTCGCTGGGGTCCCGCGGCTTTGGTGCCTCACGTCCCCTTTGTCCCTCGCTTCTGAAGGAGCCCCTTTTCTTGCCTCCGGCCTCACCTCAATACCTCACACACTCACTCGTTCCCTCACAGACTCACAGTCACACACTAGGTTAAACCGAAACGGTACTTGAGGGAGGGGGGAGGGGACAATCCCAAAAACTCTCGCGAGAACTCACTGAGCTCGCGGTATTTCCTGCTGCCTTTCCACCTCTCACTGCTTTATCAAACAACGCGAGAACATGTCCCAAGCACAAAACGCGATCTGTCATACTCTCGCGATAGAGTCCTCGCTCTCAATTTGATCAAAGCTTTATTGAAACGGAGCAAGAAGCTTTTTTTTTAAATCCAAAACTTTATTGGTAACTCATTGAACAAATATTCTCAGGCTCTGGCGGAAACTAATTTTTGCATACTTTATAACTACCAGGATGAAAATCCTGTTGTGTTGTCAACAGAACAAAGGGCGAATGTGCGCGCATTTCAACTCAATTCCCTAAGTATTAACAATGCTTATTATTTACATAGAGTATAATACGTGCATTATCTCTAATTCTCTTACTACCTCCAAAACATGATACCCTCATTCCTGTTTTACAAGTAAGTTAACCCAGACTCAGAGTAGTTAAATAACTTACCCAGGGTAACAAAGCTAGTCCAGCAAGTGCGAAACACGAGATTCAAATTCCTGTCTGACAAAAGCAGAAGCTCTCCCATTGTGCGGCACTCTCTCCAGTCTACTTAACAATCTAAGAACCTGAAAGTTCATCACCTCTTGGGATCACGTATGGCTCTCCTGGAATCATTTATCTTTTTATCTTCACACAGAAAATTAGAATTTTGAACAAGAAAAGCATAATATTCGTGACCAAGAAAAAATAGTATCTTACACTGCCCCTCATTTTTTACTTTGCAGAACTCCTTCCCAATATGTTAACTCATTCCATCTACACAACTATCTTCTGAAATAGGGTAGTTTTGTGAGGAAACTAAGGCTCAGAGAAGTGAAGTGACTTGTCTAAGCATCTTTATTCTATTCTTCAACACATTTATATGTGAGATTTTAAGGCCCTTGTCTGTGTAATATTACCTACCCAAGGCCCTAAAGGTATATCCTATACCCTATATAGGATATAGATAATATATTCATACCACAAGATATAAGGTAATGTCATAAGAATGATACAGAGCACTGAGGAGGTTCAAAATGAGGTTGGGAGTGTTAAGAGAAAGCTTTATAAGAGGGCATTTCAGTTGTCCAGGAAGAGTAAATAGGACTTGTATATGCAAAGATGGGAAGATCAACCAGTAAATTGGGACTCAGAAAACACTCTGAGTGAAGGTAGAAGAATCCATTCTCAAAATCACTCCCTGAAAATGTTCCTGTTGCTTTTGGTCACATGGGTACTAAAAAAAGTTTTTTACTTGAATGTTTGAGTCCATAAATTTTGAATACAAATGAAAAAGACTGAACTTTTCATGTCAACTTTTTAATCATCTATGGAAATAGTAAAATTAATGCTATCAAGAAAAAGGAAATAAAGGATAGAATTAAGTACTGAAACTCAGGTGTGTTATCTCCCCATCATTGCTGCAAGAGGGCCTGGATATAAAGGTCCCCCCAAGTGTTTGACATGATGGCAGATGGCATGAGACTAAATAGGCCAATTAGGTGTGACTGGCCCACCTTATGAAACATTGACTGAGTTCACCAAAATTACTCTGATTTTTTTTTCTAACTTTTAAGTGAGATCAAGTTTTTGACCCAGATACACCCATACTCATAGTAAAATGGAAAAGTGGAAGGAATGATGGTGATGTGTCAAATAAAATCTTGAAAAAGAAAATCATTGTCCAAATTAAACAGCATTATTTATATTTATAATGATTAATTACGTTTGATGCCTATTGAAGCAGACTAGAGACCCCTAATGAGTAAATGAAGCTTTTTACTGAATTTTTATAATCGCTTATGTTTCTATAGCACTTTTTAATTTTCTACAACACTCTTCTAAGTCTGTCTTGAATATCAGCTGAACAAGTAAATAACCTGGCGAGGTGGCCAGGATGGGTGTTATATGCATCTACTAAAGGATGAAACAGACTCAGAAGGAATTGGAGCGTATTTACACTAAGTGTAGTTAGTGCCAGGAGGAGGGACAGCTCTTTCTTTAATCCTAAGCCAGTACTCTATTGCACTACACTTTCTCTTTTTGGTGGATAAAATTCTACTCTAATGTAATTATATCTCAATACAGCTGGGAAAAAAATATCTATTCTAGGAAATTTCAGATTCTGTTTAAATTTTAAAATACAAAATATACTCTAAACTACACAGATTGGCCCAACAAGAGGTGAGAATAGTGCTTTTGTATAATAAGTGTTGCTTCACTCTACAGAAAAACTTTGAACTCAGAAATTCCAAAACTGCTTTATTTGCATGACCTCCCAGGGCAGGGAGTGAGGACAACTGTATGAACCCCAAGATGATCAGTCAGGTGATGACTACACTTTCCCTGTAAATCCCCACAGCAGGTCATAAAGCTTCTCTTTAGGCCGTACACAAGAGAACATATTTAATTAAAGTTACAATAACTTCTTATCCCCGCACAGACCAATTTGTTAGTTTAGATTTTAGGTTTAAAGAGTCTAGTCCCCCTCAAAGCTTAGTCATTTAAAATGTACCCATTGTCCCCTTCTTGCCATATAGGAAGATTGTTTCTATGTGCACCTTTTATGCTTTTCTTATTTAATGATATCTCTCTTTTGCTTCTTGAGTACAAATTTTACAACGTCATCTCATTTGCATTTTCAGATGAGAAATAATTTCTGTGACCAAAATTTGGTAAAGTTTACTCTATTTTCAAGCTTTATAAGGCTTAATATGTCCTAGCTACATTTGTACAGACATTATTGTTTATCTGTATAGAGAGTTTTCATGAGGAAGTGTAGCTGTGTATCTAATGTTGATACTTTGGGCATAATAATAAATCGAAAAAAAATTTTTGAGTACCTATGGTTATAGTAGCCAACCATATTTTCAGAAATTTAAATCAGATGAGCCCATCAAGGTTGGGGCTGCGTTTTCATGTTTATATTACCAGCTCCTAATACACAAGTCTTAGGACTCCATTGATGCTTGTTGAATGAAGAGCACTTTGACAACAGAAAAGGAAATAATTTTAAATATGAATTATTTTTGAAAATTCTCACTTCGATAAATGCTCTCTGTACTTCAATTTTAAGGTTGTTCGATTCACATTATATAATATTTGGTACATACTTTTATATTAAAAGATATTTGTTGATTTTCTGAAATTCAAATTTAACTGTGTTTTGTTATTTTATCTGGGAACCCTATCTATTTATCCCAACAATATGCATTGAGTCTCTGACTTGTGTCAGGAGCTGGGCTAGGCAATGTCACAAGCCAGTAGTGAAAGAAACAGACCCAGTGCAAGCCCTCCTGGAGTTGACAGTCTAGGAGGGAAGACAGGCATTGAACAAATCATTATGGACTTAATTTTGATGGTGAAAGTGTTATTAAAGAGATAACATAACAGGGGACCTGATTAAGTCAGGGGTTAGAGAAGGCTTGCTTTTCTAGTCTAGAGGAAGAGACATTTCAATTGAAATCTGAGTAAGAGAGCCTTAATGAGGTGAAGAGAGTGAGCAGAGGAAGGCCTCCAAGGAGTGTAGGAATTTTCCGCATATAAAAGGCCAGTGTGGCTGGGGGTTGGGAAGGGGAGAAGTGCTGGGTCTCGCAAGGCTTTGCAGGTCCAGTAAAAGATTTGCCTAACTAGGCCCAGGTACAGTGCTAGATAGTGGGAACTCAAAAATGAGGGGCAATTCCTGCTCCATGAAACTCACTGTATAGTGCCTCAAAGAAATGACGTAATAGGAATAGAAAAGCAATAAATCTGAATTCTACTTTCAAGGAGCATGGTTATATATAACTTTGTGGTGACAAACATGTTCCCAGACATTCCCAAAGATTTGGTCTCAATCAATTTACACTGCTGTGCCTGCTCACCTGAACTGTAGTTATCTGCTGGAATGGCTTTAGAATGTTTAAATAGCATTTTTGAAATGTGTGTTAAGTCTGAGATGTGAGAACAAATCCATTGCTTAATATCCTTGCCACAAACTAGGTAAAATCCCACTTTTCACTGGTTATTTTCAAGGATGTGTATGGAAAAAGAACTTAAAAAAAATAATAACCTTAACTATGTTAAGAACTTTTACCCAGTGCTGGCTAGCACTGTTGTATTTTAGCCTGGTTCTTCAGTTCCAGGGGCCATGAACTCAGCGCTACTCCAAATTTCTCTGTGAGGACTTACTGATACAAGAGATATGACTACACATTCTTTGTGACTTGTGGCGTAGAGTACAAGCTAAACTGCTTGTTTTCACTACAATTACAAAAAGGGACAAAATCAATTCTTAACACCTTTGTGATCCTAAGTATAATTAATAACATTTTATGCTAGAAGGCTGAAAACAAGTTTACCTTAATCCAGAATCTCCCAGATCTTCAAAAATATTGTAATTGCTTAAAAAATACTTCTGAAATAAAAAAAAGGAAATGGGAATTAAGTGTACTGGACTGGCGTGGAACGTCATGTTACAAGAGGCCAATATCTTTTTTATGGCATAATTACTCCATCTAGTATCTGAAGAAAGCATATTATTTTTAATAAAAATATTTCTAACACCAATATTCTTCGAAAGGGTAGTCTTTCAGTAAGAAAGCCGGGGATTTTAATTTGCGAACTGCTTAAATGCCAAAATGAAATGCCGGTTTCATAAGAGGAACCGATCACTAGCAACAGGGAAGCAACCATACCTAGCTGCAGTAAGCCTAAGACAACGGAAAGCTTAAGATAAAGCTAGGTTGGGCGACTCTCGCGAGAAGTACCGCATTAACCATTTTTCGCGATAGTTTGGTGCCCAGCCCTTTTCCTCTCTCGCAGGATCACGGTTAATCTCGCGATTTTTGGGAAGTTCCGTTGGGGAAGATGGCGGCGGCCTCGAGCACCCTTCTCTTCTTGCCGCCAGGGACTTCAGACTGAGCCTTCCCGGGAAGAGTGGGGGCTGCTGGTGCCCCGCGTCCCGGGAGCCCGAACCAGCTTGATTCCGC